CGACTCGAACATCTGTAAAAATGGTTCCGTGCTGAAAGTAAGAAGGCGGGAGGAGAATGTGAGGATTCGAAGTGCGGGTAGTATGGCGTTGAGCTTGGTGCGAGTGAGTGCGATAAGCAGATTATCGGGAAGTTCGGCCATGTGGAGACAAAGGCTCTCGACATGGATCGTTGTTTTGAGAAAGTCGATGAAACGTGCAATATTTTCTGTGTCAGGGAGTAGATTACGAGACAAACGAAGATGGGTCAAGGACGTGGCAGAGGCGCCTAAATTAGGGAAGTGGATGTCAGCGTGTTCTGCCGTGAAGAAAAGATTGAGGTGATTGAGTGATGGAACATGAAGACACTGGAAGACGCGGGCAATGGTTCCAGTCAAGGATCCACGGGACTCCTTGACTGCGATCTTGAGAATGGAGGGCATCACGACAGGTTTATCAGGAAAATTCGCAGATTCGCTACAACAGAGAGATAGTACTTTGGCAGATGTCAGTTTCTCCAAAGCATTCCAGCTGTGTTCGCTGGTAGCATCCTGGGAAGCGTACGTGGTAATTTTGGACCACGGAAGTCGTAAAATGCGGCAGGGATCTGCATCGTGCATGGACTCGAAGTCGAGGAGGTGAGGGGCTGTTCGGAACACATCCACGGTAATGGCTCTTTCCAACGAAGTTGCTCGACTGTTGACCCTCATTTTGAGTGTATGCAAGCGAAGAAAGGTGTTACCCGAAAAACAACTTCAATGCGTTAGGTAGAATATGCAGACGCAGGTGTTTCCATCGAGACATACTCGTCTCCAGCAGCGTTAAAGAAGGCTGGTCGGAGATAAATTGGCTGTTACTGTGAATTGAAACAGAAAGATCGGTATCTCTGGATCGTTGGAGGTAAAGCCCAAGTCGGAACAGGCAAGTCATTCCTGGAATTTCTAAACGGATATATTCGGAAAAGTCGAGGATCATAGTAGACCATAGACGTGGAAAAGACACGGCAATCTCCCGCCATCTTCTGCTGATACGAGTGAGCGTCCATGGAGGACGACGGGGATCAAGTGATTCGTTTGGGAGGTATCTGCACTTGACAATATCGTCCCAGTCGTAGACGCACCACGAAAATATTTCGCGGAGTAGGTCATCCGATAGTAAGCGTATGGGGTGTAAGAGTGTTTCCGCATCTGCAACATCAAGCGCGACGCGTTCTCTTTCAAGCAAAAGGTTTTCCAGCACTTCTCGCGCCTTTTTGATCTCCTCGTCGAAATTCAAGAGCGTTGCCTTCCCAGCTTGGACAGTAGCTAAAAGGGCCGGCCTTGCAGTATACGAGGGTGGTCCATTTTGTTGCAAAAGCTCTGTTACGCGGGCTGAACGCGTGGATTTTGGATCAGGGAGAAGGCTGATGCCGCAGAATGTGCACGAAGTAGGGATTGCATCAAGCTGAAATGAGGATTGTTAGCACAGAAAACGATAGGGCGGCACTGAATGGATTAGTACCGAATTTTCTAGTGAAGACATGGTCGTTTGATAAGAGCTAGTAGAAGGACGGGCAGCAGATCGAGTATTGGTCAAAAGTAAGGATTGTTGAGCGAGCGAGCTGATTCTCGGCAGTAGACCGTTCAGTAAGAAGACTAAGTGAATTACTGTGAAAAGGGGTAGCTGATCATGTCAGCATTTCTTAGTCCCGAATAAATATTGAATAAATAAAAGGTAAATAAATATGTCCGTATTCGGCATGTCGCTGCATTTATGAAGTTGATTCATGCCTCGATGCCGCAATGCAATACTTCTTAGAATCGCAGAGCCGTTCTCAAACGAGTGAGTGTAAAAATGTTACATCCCTGGAAAATACTACATGGGGGCTAACTACAAAATGTACAGCTTTCTATACTAAGTACGAAATTCCCGCGAGAACAAGCAAGTAAATCCGTACCAATAACTAGAACGGCGACTGGCTGTTAATGCCATGGGAAGCTCGAAATCTCACGGTGCTAGTAGACCTTATCTCTACCAGCGTAGTCCCTGCCTTTGCCTTCTATCTTTCATACCTCGTACTTGTACGTAATCGGCTACCCTTTTTCCCTCAACCCTACTGACCCTACTGTGGAGTGTATATATAATATACCTCGTGCGATGCCATTACACCTCGTGCCACATGTCTCCGAAAGACGTTGTTCGTGCAGCGGACGAGGCTCTATTAGCGGCTTTGGGTTATAAGCAAGAATTCCAGCGTGCTTTTACTCCTCTTGAGGTGCACCTTCCTTCCGCCTTTATAGCCAGTGTACTCACGACCCTCATTTCAGGTTTTTGGAATCGCGTTCTCAATCATCGGTCTGGTGCCCTCAATATCTTCGGTTCTTTTTTATGCGATTCCCAACGGAGGTGGGCCCGCCATGGTTTGGGGGGTATGCTTCCCTCAAGTTACTCCCATAAAGAAGCTATGCTGATAGAACAGCAAAGTGGGCCGTTGCGAGTATTTTCATACTATTTGTTGCGCTGGCAATGGCCGAACTAGCCAGTTCTGCTCCTACCTCTGGAGGATTGTACTACTGGACCTATTCATTCTCGTCTCCCCGCTGGCGTAATCTACTCTGCTGGATAGTCGGATGCCAGTTCCTCCGTTTCACATACATCAGCGTACCCTCACACTTTCATCGTAGATATGAACACGATCGGATCTATAGGAAACGTGGCTTCGACTAACTGGGGATGCGCTGTTCAAGTCATGGCTGCAGCCAAGATTGGCTCTAATAACCAAAGCTTCGAGCCAACGAACGCCCAGCTTTTGTGCGTTATTTTTGTTTTTTCTTCTTCTGTACTCTCAATTCAAGTATGTCAGTGGCGTATATGTCGCTATAAATCTCACTCATGTTGTAAGCTGCTGTCTGGGCACGACCGTTTTGGCAAGGTTGCAGTCCGTGTACGTCGCTCTCAACATCCTGTACGTATTCCAGTTATCCGATAGCGCTTTTCATCATTCTGATGTTCCGATACGATAATTTGGGCAGGTTATGCATAGGGGTTATCGTCGCCTTGCCTACCGTTACTCCGCCGGAATTCAAGAACACCGCACACTTTGCATTAGGCGAATTCGTTAATCGTGCGTTAAGGATTTATTTCCGTGTAGCGCTTATCTCATCGGGTATAGTGAACAGATGGACAGATGGCTTCGCATTCATATTGAGCTTTTTGGCGCCACTTTGGACTATTGGTATGTTTGCACTACTAGAGCAATATGGCATGGTACATCGATAATCTTTTTGTAGGTTCATTCGATTGCAGTGTGCACATAAGTGAGGAAGCATCAAATGCCGCGACTGTCGTTCCTTGGGCAATCGTACTGGCGGTAGGCATCGCTGGAGTGTTGGGCTTGGGTACGCATTTTTTACAATACCGATAATCCATACTGACGTTGAATCTACAGCAATTAACATGACCCTCGCTTTCTGTATGGGTTCAGATGTGCAGGCAATAAATGATAGTACCCAGCCTATGGCGCAAATTCTGTTCAATGGTTTTGGGCAGAAAGGAACGTTGGGTATCTGGGCGATTATTGTATTGGTACAGTGCGTTGACATTTTCATCTTTCGTTGCTGTGTATCAATTTTGGCTTCGCTTGGGCAGATACATGATGGGTTCCAGTATGGTAAGCTCATGTTTCGCCACGGAGAATATTACATAATGTCCTTTATCAGCTTCTAGCTGCTAGTCGACAGACATACGCGTTTAGCAGAGATCAAGGTATCATCGTCTCTTTTATGATCATCTCATATTTCAACGCTTATATCATATGCCAGCCCTTCCGTTTTCCAACTGGCTGTACCGAATGAATAGCTATACGAAAACACCAGTTAACACTGTCATTTTCGACGCTGGTTTCTCAATATTGCTAGGACTACTCTCATTCGCAGGACAGAATGCCATCAACGCTATATTCTCCATATCTATTATTTCATTGTACGTTGCATACAGCATCCCCATCGCTGCCCGCTTTATCAGAAAGAACGACTTCAAGCCTGGGCCGTTTTATCTCGGGATTTTTGTTAGTTCCTTCGAATCATATTTTAATGCATCTCTAACTGTCGTTCCTTGTAGAGCTTTCCGATCGGACTAATAGCTGTACTGTTCATGGTCTTCACGAGTGTAGTGTCCATGTTCCCTACGACTCCACAAACGACTGTTCGAGACATGAACTACTCCGTTGTAGTGCTAGGAGGTGTGACGATTTTCTCGTTGATGTGGTACTACTTCCCGAAATATGGTGGGGTTTACTGGTTCACGGGTCCTATTCCTACGTTGGACCCCATTACGCTCGTATCAGAGGACATGCTCGAAAAGGAGACAGTCAATATTGTTGCAGAGCTAGTTGTAGAATGATTGATATCTAAATTTGCTCTCGTTATCTCGTTATGTACACGTAATTATCATACAAAGGTAGAAGGTGAATATTTACGACGCCCAGAACGAAGCATAATATTGACAATAATACTTGCCTTACGCCAAAGACGGTATGAAGATTTGAGTGGACACTGGAAGAGGAAAGAGAGCGGTTAAAAGTGTACTAGATGTATGGGCCATCGCTTCGCGCGGCATATCCGAGTCCTATGTCGTTTCTGGGGTCGGTTTGTGTTTGTACACAAATATATCTCTAGCTTTCATATTTGGGTCTACCATTAGATCAACTCGGATAATGTCTCCTTCCATCCCAGAAGACCTCCCGACACCATCCGATTGTTGTACCAACCTTTCCGTGTATGTCAACTTAACATGCAGTAAAATGGGCATCACCATGATAGACTATATCTACCAGGGAATTTTTATACTATTTCCGACTGTAATGTCGAAGCACATGTCCGGTGGGGTATTCATATCCAACAAATATTTCGGACCCATCACCCAAAGTGAAGACGTCAGATGAAACCGGAATCCAGATAGCATAGGAGGCCGACACTGTGAACAGGATCATATGCAGGATGGCCAGTAACACGTTGATGCACACCGAGGAAAATGTGGTAGAATACTCACAGATGCCAGGGCCAGACCGCAGATATTCAGAGTAGGGGACCTAGTCAAGGCCCAATGCCCCATGGTTTCCATCACGGCAAAGAACGGGACAAGAACGCGATAGAAAAAATGAAAACGGTGCTACTAGCAATAGTCTGGAAATTATGAACACGCGACGGTACATAAATCCATTACACACGCGATGAATGTGTGGAGATGATACAACAGAAACAGGAGAGCTGAAGTTAAAACCGAGGATGAAGAGAAAGATAGGGTTCGAAGACGAGGTGGCAGAGAAGGCGGATAAAGGGCAGATGAATGAGCCAAGACGATTGAGGGGAAGAGGGCGAAGACTCTATGATCACGGAGTAAAATATCACGTACAATGGCCAAGAGAAGGAAAGTTTTTTTAAAAAAAAAATGTAGCTACAAGAAAAGGGGAGGAGTGAAATATGCAGCATTCACGATGATTTGCTAAAGTGACTGAGAGGTATTGGGACACAATGCGAAGGAGACAGAAGACAGTCGGATCGGTAAGCCGAACAAAGGCAAATGCCGCAAGGAATAGAATTTTCCCACGGGCATTTTGAAGGTGTATGACCGAGATAATCCTGACTCGGAATGTTTGTGGTAAATTTTCATTTCGGCAGAAGGACGGCCGATGAGTTCCAGATAAAAACGCCGCTCGGATAATCTCTCGAGAATTACCGGTTCACTGTCCTTGAACTTGACCTACCATCATGTCACTGTCTTTGTTCTCTTTGCCCCCGGAAATCCTTACTCAGTGCATGGACAGCTTGGACTACTGGTCTCTGCTCCAATGCACGAAGGTGTGTGCATTTTTGGCGTAGTCCGAGACCTCGCTCAACTTGGGCTCATAAGGTCTGTAGAACATTCAAGAACGTCGTCGATGGCTCTCTTGCCCTTCAGTACACGATTGAGCTCGCCCTTGACGGCATGGAGGATGGAAAAAGCTCCCATCTTCTAAACGCCGAACGGCTGGGGCGCCTTCGTGACCTGCGGCGCGCCTGGGCAAATCTGGATTGGAAAGAATTTACGAGCATTCCGTTTAGCGGGGAATGCAGTGCCTATGAGCTCGTCGCCGGCGTATTCGTCAAAATGTTTTTGGGAAGGGATTTCTCCTTGACGCGGCTTCCTTCGTCGACGCGACCTACTGTGGATCAGGTGCAGCTTCCGGACCAAGACATGCTGGTGAAGGATTTCGCCATGGATCCAAGTCAGGACTTGCTCGCCATGCTTGTGGATGATGCGTCGTTCGTAATGCTTCTTATTCCTTTCCTTCGCACAGCGCTGAACTATGGCCAGACCGCCTTCGTACACAACGAACCGCATTCTCACGATGCATTTGCGGTCCCTTTCTACACTTCATGATCACCCCGAGGCGGAGATACCGCAAATAAACATCTATATTCAGCCAGGCGAAATGTGGGCCAACCTTGTGGGCGTTTGTACTATTCAAGTGGCACAGGATTCTCTAGCTCTCTTCATTCGCCAACCCGTCAAAGAGTCGCATTTGTATATCTGGAACTGGAAGACAGGACAGCTTCTAATCGTGCGTAATGCCATCGTTGACCCTTGTCAATGCGCATTCTCACAATCGTTCTAGAACCACGATGATCACTGTGGGCTGCCGAAGGGCGTGTACCATTTCGGCTTCGTGACCAGGGACACGTACATTCTGACAACAACCTATGCTCCTGGTTATATCTATCTAGTGCAGATGTCGGAGGAAATTCAATACAAGACCATCGTTGTGCTTTGTCTGCCGGAAATCGTAGACAATGTTCAGGTCGAGGCGGTCATCACACATTCCGGAGCAATCACCGCTTCCGCTACAGACAGCGAACAGTTCTTTGCTACCCCAGAGCGGCGGATACATACGTTCACCGTGATGTACGGGTTTCTGGATCCTACTCGGGACGCAGCGACATATACATTGTTCGTCCCGAATCAAACATTCTTGCGATATATCTCGGATTATGAAGATAGGAAAAAGAGCCTTTTGAGTTATGTTATATGGGACAATTGGGGCCCTGGACATACGCGCATGTTGTCGAATGAAGGCTCTTTCAACTGGATGCGGTAGGTCGCTTGTACTATCCTGATTTTCTCAATGGCTGAGCGAAGTAAATGTAGATACGCCTACGGAGAGAAGGTTGTCTGCCCCGCTATTCCAGGGAGGAACATAGTACAGGTGCTAGATTTCAACATTCATCTATCGCGCCCTCGTCCACGAACCTTGTTCCCTTTTTCACGAGGGCGTGTTGTTACCGGTCCGACTACATTGGATCGGATGCATATATTTAAAGAAAAAGTACGGACCAATCTACCGTTCTATTCTACGTCGCGAGAGATGGAGAAGGAGTATTCGGGATTTATGATCGACGAGCAGAGGATCATTGCTTTGAAGGTACATGCCCCGCTAACATTACTAATCCGCACAAGGCTGACCTGTTCCTAGATGCTTGGAGAAGTCGATGAGAGTACTGAGCTCGAATCTGTTGACGTATACTCGTTCTGATTCGGAGGTCAATGTTTTCTACGGACAAAACATGTCATCTGTCGAAGAATATAAGGAACAATGACTTTTGATTTGGAATTTCTCCTGGTGCAAAACTCTGCTTGCTGACTCGAGATGCGCTCATGATTGTACGACATTTCAGGTTATAAGCAATCAAGTCAAGCTGATGGTCTAGGCAGATGCAATCTGCGAGCAGGTCGAAACCTATCGAATTCGGTATGTATGGTGTGACCGAAATTGCAGTCCTCTTGTTCCGGTACACTATTATGCTCCTTTTGTCTTGTAAACGGGCTCATTCCTTACGTCTAGGTTATAATGTGATCCAGAATCCATGCACTATCGAGAAAGGGGATCCCATGCCGAGATGCCGCGGTCCGAGTTGCATATACTGGCTGACAATAGGCGGCCCGCCTCAGCAATAAAGTATGCAGCTGAAAATGAGATGGGCTACACCAGTTTTCTTCCTTTCCTCGTTCATTTGTCTCCTGTCCATCTATCCTCACCATCCTGATGAGCAACACCAGTTCCGTCGCACCCGACGGAATCTGCACGAAGACAGACATTCAAGACCATGAATCTGTGCGGACTGCTATAGGCGACTTTCGCTCGAACACGGAGCAGGAAGTCATAGAGCTCGCCAGGACCATAACGAACGCCTCTTCTGCCGGAAAAGGTCTTGCGGAGGCAGGAAATCCGTCCCAAGGCAGCAAGGACCCGCAACTGGACCCTCACTCTGAGCAATTTAACTATCACGGTTGGATTTGCTCTGTGTTATCGATCACCTCTCGCGATCCCGACAGATACCCTCAGCGGACAGCAGGTATTAGTTTCCGGAATTTGAACGTCTTCGGATATGGGAAGTCGACGGATCATCAGAAGACTGTGGGGAATGTTTTACTTGATATCCCTCGGCTGATCGCTGGGTTATTGGGGAGCAAGGGTAGGAGGATCGACATTCTTCGGGATTTCGAGGGTGTTCTTAGGGCTGGTGAGATGCTAGTAGTTTTAGGTCGGTCGGGAAGGTACGAATTTACTCTTCAGTTGTTCCAGTCAGACGTTAATCCTGTATTCTCAGCGGCTGTACTACCCTTTTGAAAACTATTTCCGGTGAAACCCATGGCTTTTGGGTTGAAAAAAGCGCGAAAATCAACTATCAAGGCGAGTCGCTTTGATCAAACCCCTTTGGCATAATCTCATGGCGCCTTAGGTATCCCGTGGAAGACTATGCATCGTGACTTTCGTGGCGAAGTCGTCTACAATGCCGAAACCGACGTTCACTTCCCCAACTTGACTGTCGGAGAGACGCTCTCATTTGCAGCTCAAGCACGGACGCCTCGTACTCGGCTTCCTGGAATCTCTCGTAATATGTGGGCTGAGCATATGAAGGACGTCGTCATGACTGTCTTTGGTCTTACACATACTGTCAACACCAGAGTTGGGAATGATTTCATTCGTGGCGTGTCGGGTGGCGAGCGGAAGCGTGTCAGTATTGCAGAGGTCGCCCTCAGTGGTAGCCCTTTACAATGTTGGGACAATAGTACCCGCGGTCTGGATAGTGCGACGGCCCTCGAGTTTGTAAAGACTGTCCGTCTCTCAACTACATATATGGGCGCCACAGCCGTCGTTGCTATCTACCAGGCTTCACAAACTATCTACGACGTAAGTGATATGGCCGTTCTCCCGACTTGCGATACTCACACAGAGAAATTAGATTTTCGACAAGGCTGTTGTCCTTTATGAGGGCCGACAGATCTATTTCTGCCGAACGGATGACGCGAAGAGGTTTTTCGTCGATATGAGTTTCCATTGTCCCGAGCGTCAGACTACAACCGATTTCCTCACCTCTCTCACCAACCCAGCGGAACGTAAAATCAGACCAGGTTTTGAATCGAAAGTTCCTCGCACTCCTGATGAGTTTGCCAGAGCATGGAAAGAGAGCGCAGAACGGAAGCTCCTTCTCGAGGACATTGACCAATTCGATGGCGAATTTCCGATTGGCGGCAACCAGCTTGCCATGTTCCGCAAAGCTAGGAGGTCTCAGCAGGCTAGAAGAGTGTAAATGCTTCCATCCCACCAGTTTACGAGATATACTAACACACGATTTTAGTCCCTCTCACTCGCCGTATACTTTATCTACGCCTATGCAGTTTCGTCTGTGTCTTGTTCGTGGCTTCCAAAGATTGCGAGGTGATATGAGCTTGGCCCTTACGACAATCTTCGGAAATTTTATCATGGCATTGATCATCTCTAGTATCTTCTACAACCTTCCGCATAACACCGCCAGTTTCTACAGCAGAGGCGCGTTACTTTTCTTCGCTATCCTGCTGAACGCTTTTAGTAGCGCTCTCGAGGTACGTTCATTCTTCAACCAACGAATGACACGTCATTGAAGAGCAACTTGCAGATCCTGACGCTATGGGTTCAACGTCCCATTGTCGAGAAACATTCACGGATGGCTTTCTACCGCCCACTGTCTGAAGCTATCTCCTCCATAATATGTGATCTCCCACAGAAAGTCATCACGTCTATCAGCTTCAACCTGGTGCTCTATTTCATGACTAATCTACGCCGCACTGTGGACGGTTTCTTCATCTTCCTTCTTTTCTCTTTCATGTGCACCTTGGCGATGTCCATGATTTTCCGTACCATCGGTGCCCTTTCCCGGACAATCTCACAGGCTATGGCACCCGCTAGTCTGCTCATGCTTTCATTGGTGATCTATACAGATTTTACGATTCCTACAAGGTGAGGGATAATCTGGATAAATGTAGACTTGTTTATCCAATCTTTTTTGATCCGCAGTGGCATGAAAGCCTGGTTCCGGTGGATAAACTACCTTGATCCCATTGGCTACGCTTTCGAAAGCTTAATGGTCAATGAGTTTGCCGGACAAGAGTATCCCTGTTCGGTCTACTTGCCCACAGGACCGGACTATACAAACGTCAGTGCCTATGAACACGT